TTATTATTGGGCTATCAAATTTTAGAATGAGCTTATTCCACTAAAGGTCTTCTCGAAATATATAAAATTAGAGAGACAATTTTATTTAAAATTCATGCAGTTAAATCGTCTTGATTTGCTATCTTAATTCATTACCTATGCCGACATCAAATAATTAGTGTTGGGTGAAAATGATCGTTTTACCTCTACTAATTATTTTCTTACCAAAGCTAACTTTTATTTCAACTATTTCTTTGCTATCAAATCACAGTAACAATTCAGATGTCGTCAAATACTGAGCCCAGATTAAAATAGATCAAGGATAGTACTTGAGCGAACTCTTTTACATTTTGAAATGGGCGGCAGATTCCGAACACGAATAACCATCACTATTTCGCTTAATTTTGTTTCCCAATGTATCGATGTATTTGATTCAAGCACTGAATCTCACTAGTTGGTACATCAAAGATTTTGGAGTTCACAGATAGCAATCACTAATCTGTGACACATTAGATAAATCATAAAGCAATCGGTGTGGAGTTTAATTCTCTAGTATGGTCATGCATTAGAATTAAGATGTTTGGTATTGAGTAGAATTCAGGTTTTAATAGATGTCAAAGTTAATAATTAATTTTAACCACATGTTTCATGGGTCTCATAACTTGTCAATCACACATTTTATCAACTTTTATCAAAATCTATTAAAAATCTAATTTTAATCCCCCACCAAACAGGGGCTAAACTATTACACATAACGATCGTGTCCATTACACTAATGGATTTACCAAGCATACTTCAGATATCTTCTTGCCACGATTAAGACAAATCACATATATCAGTTGGTAAAGTAATGAATAGAGTGGCAATCTCTTATTCTACGATCAAGAACAATTAATTTCTAGATCAACATAAAAATTTGGGTCTTCTATACTAACCTTCACATTTTATATTTCACTTATCAATCGAAGGGACTTTATGCGGATGTTCAAAATATAATTCACCTCAATTTTTATAGAAATAAATAAAAATCTATTACCTATTCAATAACATTTGAAATGTCTATCTTATTATAGTAAAATTTTAATACTTTTGGGCACATTTCTCAACACGCACAACTGTATATGAAACAATATATGATACTTTCTAAGCTTATTACAGTAGGACTAGGGTACATGTTGGATAGGAAATGATATAATAGTGTTGTAATCCTAATATGTTTAGGGGTCTCCCGGGTTTATCATTTGTAGGTGAATAGTAATGAGAGTGTCCCACTATAGTTGACAAAGAGCTAGAGTCGACACTATCACTGAATGGTTGAGCAACGGTAGGATTCTACTCACAAAAATCATATTTATATCTTGTTTCAATATACTAATCACGAACTCGAGTTACCGACCACGGCATCAAGGTAGTTCTTGGAGACATTTGTAAAGAGGTCATGCACAGGCCACCCCGATAAGCTTGACCTCGATTGGATTATACCTAGGGCACACACCGATCTTTGTGCTCGAAGTGATATCAACTTTAGCCTTATCAATACCGATTAACCATATTAGGAGGATAATTTGGTAACTCTATAAACACACTGAAATACTTGGGTGTTCGTACACCACTTGAGGGATTGTCCATTTTAAATATCAATCATGTTACATTACATCATTTTTGACATTGTGTCACGTGACAATACACCATTGAACATTTTTTCTCGCTCACAACTTTTTGAAATCCAACGGGATGTACACAATGATATCAATCAAACAATATACACTTAGCATTATTCTTTAAATATATAGCATATCAATAGAAATGACGTAGTATATAGTGATAATTGATTATTTCCAAGAATTACAAGTTAATCTATTAGATATTTAACTATCTATATTATGATTATTTATGTACATGTTTAACTCAAATCAATCACGATATACAAACATAATGGTTGACATAACCTTTAACAAAATGTCACGTGGCAATCTATCATTAGATTGTTTAAAACACAGTTAACTTTTTCATCAAATCATATCATGCCTCATTCTGTCATTCTCCGTGTCATACATTTTTTGGCACACAAGTTATTCAACTCAAATTACAATTTAAACGGATCAAATAGTACTTATAATCTGCATATTTCATAGGATCGGACTTTCACTCAATATTTACATATTTTGTAATATACACTTTATAATTACTTAAAAGCACTTCCAAACATGCTTGCATCTCAATTTAATGAAATTCAAGTTGAAACATCTTAGCAGTTTCATTTTTATTTTTTTAGTAATGTTAATAAAATGATTTAAATTTCATTTTTACCATTTTTGTAGAATCGTAATGAGATTTTTTTTAAATATAGATTTTATCATTTGTTGTCTGCTATCCAAATCTGAATTAATTACTGATAAGTAAATACTATATATGCCTGAAAGAATAACGACAAGCCAGCCGATATTTACTGTACCTATAAAATTACAAAGTGAAATAATAAAGAAAATTATAGCGACGACCCTCTATTCACAATATTTCACAAAAAATTGAAGACTATCGAGTGTAATCTTGTACTCGTAACCTAAGGCAGTTTGAAAGAAATGGGAGAAGAAGGGGAAGATACACAGAAGCTGAAGAGAATGGCGGCGGCGGCGTACGATTACAACACCGACCCACGATGGGCGGACTATTGGTCCAACGTTCTCGTTCCACCCAACATGGCATCCCGCTCCGATGTTATTAATCACTATAAGCGCAAGTTCTACCAGCGTTACATTGTAAGATAATTCTGGCTTTTTTTCCCTTTCTTTTTTTGATTGAGTACATGGCGTGAACCCAATTTGAGTTTTTGATTACTTTTTACTTGGTTGAGATTTAGTTTTTTGTCTGATTGTTAAATTGAATTTTATGGGGTTGTAATTGGTTGTGTTTTCTCTGCTATAGATCGTGATGATATAAGTGAAGAAATATTTGTTCTTTTTTGTGTTTGCTTGTGTAGTTAATATTAAAGCTTGTGATGATTTGTAGCTATTTTTTTCTGGGTTTCAAATTGATACAGCTGTCCTCAGTAAATAAATATGAACAATTTGATGAAACCTGATGTTAGAATTTCAGAATATGGTTGAATCTGATGTGCATTTGGACTGTACTTTTCAAGTCTTCTTTTCCAGTTTTATTGTTCTTTTCAATTCAGTCTGCGATGCTGGTTGTAATTTTTTATTGATTTAAGACTATCCTTTACTAATGGGGCGTTGGTCATTTTTTTTCTCATGATACTATACATTTCTTGTTGCTTCTGGTTCCTTATGGTTCATTTAGGGTTTGTTTGAGCTATATTTTGTTGGAAAAATAGGTTTTGTAATAGTGATTTTTTTTGGGGAAAGTGTGATTAAAAAGTAGGGAAAAACGTTGGGCTTACTTGTAAAATTATTTTATTGGAAAAATGTATGATTGAAAATGAGTTTGAAAAAAATGAATTTTTTATAGAATGGGGTTCAAACAGGGGCTTAATAACTTCAAGGGGTCAAAATCAAAATGCTCAAGATGTGGCTGAATTAGATTTTGTGTCAGTTTATAATTTTATCCTCTGGTTATCATTCAAGTTGGTAGTTTTGATGACAGTTTCTGAACTGATTAAAGCCATTTCTCTCTATCCATATATATCTGTAATCATGACTATTGAGACACATATTTGTAGATTTGTGGATGGACTGGAATGAGAATGATTCTCCATAAAAATTAACTTTTGTGGGTCTTTTGGCTTTCCATATTTTTGTATATGGGCTTATCCCTTTTCATTTCATGAGTTTATACATTCATTAAAAGAATATTTTTTCACACGTGTTTCTCCTGTAGGCTCCTCCTCGAGAGATTATAAATTTGATGTATTTTACTATGCAGGATCCCAATCTGATTGTTGAGTCAATGACTACTGGCAGTACATCTCAGCAAGCAAGACCATCAGCAACATCTTCGTCAACTTCTGCGACAAATAGTAATTCACATACACAGAATTCAGGTCTAATTTCAGCTTCTCTGGTGGTTAATTCCTCTCAAGTTGGCCAATTTAACTATTGCTACATAATGTTTTGCACTCTATATATGCTTGCTACTTGAACTGTACTTAAATTCATTTTGTAGGTTCTGCCGGTAGAACTACGGGCACGGACAGAACACCAGCTCCGAATTCAACATCGTTGCGTTGGGATAAACAAACTATTCAATTTTCTGTCAATGCTTGGGTATGTTAAGTTCACATATATAAACAAGTACTACACTAGGCAGATGTGAGAACAAAAACTTTTATGACCTAGGGGTGAATAACATATTGAACTCTGGCTTCTTCAGTGTTCCAAAATATCAAGTGCACACTATTGTCAATATCAAGGGAAAATACAACAATGATCCCAAAAATGGAATGTTATCAAGTGCTTTTAGACTTCAGTTAACATGTCATAGATAAAATTTATGTCATCTTGTTTTCAAAAATTTTACAAAATCCACAGGTCCTATTATATGCATGTATGTTTACAGTATTATTTACTATGCTGATTGTAATGAAAGCTTGGGTTGTGATCAGTTGCTTTTGTAATGTAACTGCCTCTCCAAATTAACCTCGTGTTGTTTGACCTCCACTGTAGGTACTTACTATTGGTATCTAATTCTAACTTTACCTATGGTGGAGCTACACAGGAAGGGGGTTTTGGAAATGCTATTTTTGTCAATATAACTTTAGAAACATAAGTAATTATTAAGTTCTTTGAAAATATAACTTAGTCTCCAGTAATTTTCTACTAATTCATTAAGGCTCTTGAGTTTTCTGCCCTCTTATTTTTCTTTTTATCTCACTTTTTATTTTTTTCTTCGATATTATTACCATGAATGATAAAGGGCCTTCTGCCCCTCTCTTACTCGTAACTTATATACCAAATATTCTAGGTTGAAATGATTCTGTCTACTCTTCTTAAATATACTTCAACAAGAAAAGTGTGGTCCAAGTTTCTCACTGAATCACCATATTAGATAATCGTTACTCGTGTGACTCATGCTACTATTATTATGTCTTCCATTATTCTTGTCAGACTTTTTATGGCTAAAATTATTCTCCTGTTGTGGGATGTCTAATAAATTTTAATCATCTTTCAGTTACCAACAAATTTCTGATTTTTGCTCACCTTTTCTCATCTAACCTTGTTTCCTATGAACTTAAGCATTCTCGTTGCTTTTAGGATAAACCTCTTAATTACTCCATTTGTTCCTATTTTCTAACTGAATTATAATTGGGAGATCAAGAATCATAGAATCAAGGTTACCTAGCTGTTTGCTAATGTGTGGTTGGAAAAGAAGGAAAAGTTTTTGGTTTATGTGTAATATTATTTTATGGAAGATTGTATAGTTGAAAATAAGATAGAGAAGAATAAATTTTTGGAATAACATGGGCTGAGCCCCTGTTTGAGGCTTGAGCAACATTATTTTTTTCATTCTCATTCTTTTACTCATTTTCAACTACACATTCTTCGATAAAATAATATTTTCCATCATATTAATAACATTTCCTTCTTTTTTAACCACATATTTCCCATCACATAAAAAAAAATGCATTCTTGGCTACAAAATGTGCACCAGGGGCTTAATTTCTCTCTTTCTTTTTGGTCGATGTTATTTCACTAAGCTGTTGTATCATACATCTTATTAGTTTAGGTTATTGTTAAAATACGGTACATGTTTATGCTTTCCCTTGCAGGTCTCTGCGGTTGCCGTTCTTGCTATCTTTCCTCTTGTTCCTAAGAATCTGTCAAACCGGGCATTTCGGCTTTCCTTCATGGGGACTGCATGTTCTTCTCTGTATTCATTATATTCATTATATGGGGTAATTTTTAGTTAGTTTTTTTCATTATCTTTTCCTGTGCCTGGTTTATGTTCTATTCATGGCTTCATCAATTCTAGTAACTAGTCATTGCTTGCAGAAACCTAGAGCATGGAACTTGCAGGCGCTGCAAGTTTGGTTTCAATCAGTGGCAGTTACCAAAGATTTTATCTACTCCATTTACTGCCTCACCTTTGTCACTTCAAATCTGTGCCTCAAATGTCAGTATTATTCCAATTCTGCACTAGTTTTCTCGTCTTATTTGCCTAAGCTATACCAGCTCTGCCTCTCCACGCACATAATATGCTGATGTTCAATGTTGGCAGTTGCTTTGATTCCAATTTTGTGTTTGTCCCTTCAGCATGTTGCAAAGTTCCTTCGGCGTAACTTTAGCGGATCCACCTTGTACAGGTAAAGAAGTCTGCATGTATGTGTATTCTAATTGAAGATTGGATTGGAATGGTAGAGTGCTTGAAATTTCTTCATTTTACGATTGTCTGGTGGCATTACTCTATGACATGAATCTTGTGTGAAGGCTGGAATTTAACCATTTTATTATAAATTTCTTTGATTCGTACGAAATATAGTTCCGCGGACTCTTAACATGCGATTCCAGTCCTTTCAGGTTGTACTGACATGGTGTTGCTAAGGGAAATATAAATATGTGTTTGTAGTAATTTTAAGTTATCTTACAAGGGTTTTTTTTTTTTGGGGTGTGTTGGGCAACTAGGCTGTATATCAGTATTGGATCCGGGATTTGTTACTTCTCTGTTAGACTATTGCATGGTAAATTTCTATACGAAGAGTCAAGAAAACACTGAGGAATTTTTTAGATAGCATTCTTAATGTGAGGATATTAAGTGAAGAAATAGCTGTTTGTCATTTGTTAATATGCGGTGTGTAGGCCTAAAGCCAAGTCATGTTGGGTGGACTTTTGAAGGAAATTTGAATAAGAGCCTAATTCAAGACAGTTTTGTGAACTCAAGACTCCAACTATGAAATCTGCATACCAGTAGTGTTATTGCATTCTTTTAATGTTAGAAAAAGACAGCATGGGCCTACTTCTGTGTTGCACTGACACGAGTAGGGTAGTATGACCGTATTCGACACGTTTTGGACTCGTGTCGGATATTGACATTCTACCATGATTATTCTTCTTTCTTTATTAGAAATATTAAGTACGTTTAACTCAAAGTTATTATTAAATAATAAATAGGTACTCATATTTA